CCTTCCATCCATCCATCCATCCATCCATCCATCCATCCATCCATCCATCCATCCATCCTTATTTATTTATTTATTTATTCATTCATTCATTCATTCATTCATTCATTCATTCATTCATTCATTCATTCATTCATTCATTCATTGGTGAATTAAAATAAGGGGCACATGTAAACTGGAATGCATCAACCTAGTATTGTATTAGAATTGCACTGCATCAGTTAGGGATATAGGGATGTGATGGCACTGCGGGCTAAACCGCAGAAGCCTGTGCTGCAGGGTCAGAAGACCAGCAGTCGTAAGATCGAATCCACGCGATGGAGTGAGCACCCATCGCTTGTCCCAGCTCCCGCCAACCTAGCGGTTTGAAAGCATGCAAATGCAAGTAGATAAATAGGGACCACCTCAGTGGGAAGGTAACAGCGTTCCGTGTCTAAGACGCACTGGCCATGTGACCACGGAAGATTGTCGTCGGACAAAACGCTGGCTCTATGGCTTGGAAACAGGGATGAGCACCGCCCCCTAGAGTTGAACATGACTGGACAAAAATTGTCAAGGGGAACCTTTACCTTTTTAGTTAGGGAAATATTAGAAAAGAGAGATGAAAATAGAGGAGAGGTTTTCCTCATCCTCCCTTTTAATGTCACCACCTACCTATTATGTCACTGTGTTGACATCTCAAATAACACCACCCACAGTTCCATTTTGGTGTGAAATAACCATCTACACAGGCTACACAATAATTAGGATGATGCTGCATTGCACCAAAAAGAATAGTGCTGTGCCAGAAAGGTGCGCAATGGATCTTAAAGAGCAGAGTCTCCTCCAGCACCACAATTCAAAAGCATCAATCCTTTGGCGGTCAGCTTTCTTTATGGTCCAGCTCTCACTTCCATACATCGCTACTGGAAAGACCATAGCTTTGACTATTCAGACTGCAAAATGTTCTACCTGCTTTTCAATTAAAATAAATTAAGGGGCATGAATATTTTGTGCATTAACATGACTTTCTTTTCCCCTGAATAGTGAACTCAGGTGGCAAGAGTTGGTTTAGTTTGTTAGAAGTGGAATGAAATGAAACAGGCAGGAGGAGGAAGGACAGAGGAGAGCCAGGAGGGTTGCAGGACATGAAGCACAGAGGAGATGGAGTGGCAGCATGATGTGAGACGAGGCAAGTGGAGGAGTGGAGATGAAGAGGCAAGGTGGCAGGGACCCAGTGAGGGAAAAAGAAAGGGATAGAAGTGAGGCAGAGGCAGCACGGGCCCTCCAGGTAGTTGGGGAGCACTGCAGTTCACAGGTTCTGGCCCTCCGCTACTTGAGGTGGCAGCCTTTGCCTAATGGATGAGCTGGCTCTGCTGACACAGTCGTCCCTTGGCATTCAAGGTGCACTCGGCCAAAATAACACTGATGTGCAGAATGTGCTGCTGCAATATTTATCTCTTGAATGGCAAGTCTGCCTTTGCAGAAACAGTTTCTGAGCGGCCTGGACTGTTGCTTTGATCATGGCAACGGAAGCAAAGAGTAGAGCAAATATGGTTTCCAGCTCTTTGCAGGTTGGGCAAAAATGACAAATAAACAAACAAACACGACAAAAATGTTGCGACACCTTAAAGACTAACTGCTATATTTTAATGTGAGCTTTCATGGACGAGTCCACTTCTTCAGACATGAGAGTCAGTCTGCATGGCAAATATTTATATGTGGTCCCAAAACAAAGAGACTGCTTGTTTCCTAGGTGCAAGTAGTTGATGATGTGGCATTTCACACCCGGCAACTGCTGCTCCTGTTCGTGTCCTTTGTTAGTGGCTTCTCCAGAATGGGATAAATATTGCTTGGCCTTTTGAATCATAATGGTTCTGCGTGATTGAGTGGCTTTCAGTAATGGGTGCCCCCTCTCTGATTTAAAAGAGACAGTAATTGTGCATAACTGTCATTTGCTGAGTGCCAGGAATTTTCAGAGAAGCAAGAAAGCAAGCAAACATCTAATCTGTGCTCAAGATATTTTCATACAGGTTCGTTTCTGTGAAGCAAATGTGCAACAAATATATAAAAAGCAGGAACAAAATTCTGACATGAGTCGTAGGAAAATGCCTGCCTAGCGAGCGAGAGTGCCATTAGGAAAATGACTGAACTGAAAACAGGTGAGTGTGTGGTTGTAGTGTCTTCTCTGGCCACATGTCATCCCTGTGCGATACAAGGAAGGGTTCACTGTGAGTCACAGCCATGTCTTCTCTGCTCAGAAATGGAAAAGTGGCTTCAGGGAAGTGGCAGCTGTGAGACTCAAGCTCCTTTTGGATGCTGGGCACCCCGATTTGCACGTCTTTATGGGCAGCCTGATGTTCAGAAGCTTGATGGCTCAGGGCTAGACCTGGGCTATTCATATGCTTATCTCTGGGGATACGAATACGAATAGCACAGGGCTTCTTATTGCTGATCTGCTAAATCTGGATACAGGGAAGCCATGGGAAGATAGACGCTTCCGTTTCTGCTGAAATTTCTCCCTACCAGAGCGATTAAACAACAGCAACAACACTACTCAGGACCCTCATTCCCTCAGTCATTTTGTATTACTTTGTTCTTAGTTGCACATTGGTCCTTCTACGTGGCACGGTTCCTCTGCAGGATGTGCGGTGCCTTCAGGTTAGGCAAAATCTGACAGAGCCAGCTTCCCCTGCCTGTTATTTAATCAGAATGGATCCCCTGCTTTGTTGGGGGGAAAAACAGGGCTCCCCTACAAGGCGGCTCTTTTGGCCATTCCAGCCTGGGTGATTGCACTCAGAAAGTGTAGAGTGAATGCCTAAGGGTTGATAGAGCAGCTGCTGTAGCATCATGTTTTGTCAAATAAAAATATCTTCCATATGGTATGAAGTCATGTCACATAAATACCAAAGTTTGTTATAGGGTGCTGCACTTTACTAGAGCTCTCCAAGGTTCTGAACCCTTCAAAGAGCTTCAAGATCTTCAACAGACCCTTTAAACTTCAGACTCAAATCCAGAACTCATTCACCACCTCTCTGACACTGGAATTATCAGCTTTCACTGATAGATTTCTCAGTAGAAAGGTGTGTGGTGGGCATGGGCTGTCAGCATATGGGCCTTCCAGCACAAGGGGATTTCTGTCAGTAGAAGAGGCTTCTGCCTATTCCAGCCACTCTGCAGCCGGCTCATCTAAGACTGCACTGTTAAGAGGCAATTTTATACATAATTACCTGGCAATAAGCCCCCGTGAGTTCGATGGGACTTGCTTCTTAACAGGAACACTGGATAATTTCATTTGTCATTTTAATAGACATTAGCGTACTGTGCACTTTTTCAGATGAATATGCAGATTGTAATGTGTGAAAGTGTGGTTCTTTCAGTTGAAAAATGTATAGAACTCTCTCTAGGTCTTCTGTGGCAGGTTCAACAATGGGAGCCATTTTGTCAGCAGAACTGATAGGTGGGTGGTTCCTTCTCCTCCAACTACCTCTGCATTCTAACCCTCTGTTCTTGAAGGTCAGTAAACCCTCTGGAGAAGATGCTGCTCCAAGGCTTTGGAATGTTCCTCCTCGAGAAATCAGGTTGTCTTCCTTCCATTGTATCCTTCCTGTGTCAGGCAAAGATCTTCCTTTTCAGGCATTCTTGTAAGCGATAAGTGGAGGTTTTAGGAATGCTGCATCTATTCAATTCAAAGATTTTTTAAATGTTTAAAATATATATTTTTAAGTGTTTTACTGGTGATTTAAAAATATTATTAAATGTTTAATTGTTTTTAGTGTTGTGTTTTATGATGCTTTTAGTGGTGATTATTGTACCTTTCCCCATGAATTGCTGGTTTTCTACTTGAAGGAAGCTTCTTAAAAAAGTGGGAAAATATTCAGATTTCTAGGCAGCAACTGCTATATTTCAGCCCATTTGACCTGCTGAAGACTTATTGCACATGTCAATCAAGCCTGGGTTATGAATTGTGTTTGTAGGAGGAGCTGGAGAAACATCAGCCAGTTGTTATTCATTAGGGATTTTGTATCCTCGGTGCGAAAACAAACCAAGACATTGTGTTCTAATCCAAAGCAAAGAAAGGGAGACAAAAAAGCAGGCAATGACAGCTTACCTTTAAAATTGGGCCTGATTCTGGCATCGTATCCTGATGTCCTTCCCATCAGCTTATCCAGAAAATCAGAAGGGGACATAAGCTTAGCAGCAGAGCGGGCTGCTGCTCCCGTTTCTTTGGACGTGGCGAGGCTGAGCCAAAAAAGAAGAAGAGAGCAAGCAGAGACTTAATTAGTTGCTTTTTCCCCCTCTGGTTGAAATTATATCTTTTTGCCCCATGCTGTGAGGACATGGCACCTGAATCCTTTCCAGCGAGCACTCTGCTCCCACTGTAAGCCATGACAAATACCTCTGTGGATTCTTAATGAAGCCGCTGTCTACTAATTTGTTTGCTCAGCCCAAACATTCCTGATCATGGAATCCCAACTGCAACCCAAGATCAAGCACGATGACAGATGAAGAAAATCCCTTTGCTAATTTAGGAACAGACCTGGAGTCTGCCTTAAATCAGAAATGTGGACTCTAGCATCGTATCCTAGTAGGAAAACACACTTTGAGATTAGCTATGTTTTATTAAGGAACATCAATTACCATGTAATTACAGGGCAAATAGCAGAGGAGAGTATGCAGGATGTTTCCTAAAGAGTGGACAGTGCGTGAGAGCAATATTGGCCTCCATTTGGTTTAATAGCTGGCGTTGGCTGAAATGTCCTGTATAGTATGCTGGAACTTAGGTTGGTGATCTAATTGGTGCAGAAATCTAACAATCATGCAGGGCTGAAGCACCCGGACATGCTCAATCTTACGTCCAACCATGTTAGAAACAATATGTGAGTGTTTTAATGTAGGCCCCAATCCTTTCAGGTTAATCTGATATTAGTGAGTCTGAATTCTCAGCCACGACTAAGTTCTCTTGAAATCAGTATTTTCCTATGACTTGTGACTTATTTGTCTCATTAATGTAAACAGGAGATAGGCAAGACTTGCTTAATTAAAAAAAAATCTAGAGTGAGGTACCACAAAAAAACAAAAAAACCCCAAACAAACCGACATTTAAATGGCATGCAGTTACTTAAATTCCTGTCAGCCTGGTGTTCTCTAGGAGCCCTCATCCTTCAGTGTGGGTTCTCCTTCTTTTCTTCTTTACCACCATTACGGCTACCCTTGTATCCTTTAAGCACAATCATCCCTCTGAGGGTGAGGGCCAGCCCTGTACTGAAATGGGGGAAATGCCACCTCAGGAAGATGAGATTGACAAACGGTGAACTATTTTCATGACTAGGGAATGGGAGACAAACTGATAAGTTTTTCTGATGCAGGAAAGCATCTCAGCCCCTTCTCTGAGAGGGGATTTGCTTCTCTGATTTGCTTCTCTGCCTGATTTAGCAAAAAGTTTGAGGTTGGCTCCCAACTAGTTTTAGTGGCAGTTTCCGCTGCCTTCCTTCCAGTAGACACAGTTGACCCTGCAAAATGTAGAGGCCCAGGAATGGGAGCGGGTGAGTGCTGGACACTGCCAGCATCTTTTCATTTGCTCATTGTTGGCTCTCTCATTCAGAGGAGGTCAGCTGAGGGTAACTGCAAGGAGGAGGTGGAGAAGGAAGAGGGCTAGACACTGGAAAAAATCTCTCTTTTTTACAGCTATGATTTCCAGAAACAATCGGCCAGCTTAACCAGTGGTTGTGTCGGCTGGAAGATTTGGGGAGCCATATTCTCAAACAATAACTTTTCTAAGCTTCCTTGGTGGGCCCACAGCTGCAGTATTGCTATAGCTACTGCCCAATAATGCCAGCAATACAGAGAGCTGCTGGTACAAACAAGCTGTGATGTCAAGTCTCCTAAAATGGAAACACAGCCCCCTTGCTTATTGAAATAACTGGCTTCATCATTCAGTTGTGTCCCTAGTTTTGGTTATCTAGCATTTGTTTAACCCTTTGCAGTATTTCTTTCCTCATTTCCACAGATATTTATGGATTAAAGAAGTGGCTATTAGTTTCGACATTTATGAGGGGAAGGTGGGATTGTTTTGAGCTTCCCAGGCATTGGTATTGATAAATAGCATGTTCTAGCTAAGGAGAAAAATTCATGGAGGGTGCAGTTTAGAAGAAAGTCTGCACTGCTTGGGTTTGAAGTGGAAGTCTGTCTTCCACTTATAATCTTAAACGTGATGTATGAATACTCTCCCTCCATTATATATAGTAAATATAATGTATTAATAGATAAGCATATTAAAGAGCAGCAAATTTGGCAGGTCTAGTTTCATATTGATACAGAAATATTGTACGCATATTCAAAGGTCAACTCCATCGGAAATCTACAAAAGTGGGTAAGCCACAACGGTCTGCAAATAATTAAATGCAAGAGTTCACAAGCCAGTCTCTTAACCTTCAGGAAAATTCTCTTTGACCTCCAGGAAGTTATTAAGGGGATAATTTTCTGCAAATTGCATTGACTGGAATGAGTTTACTCTCCACCTCCTCCTTCTTTCACATTTGTTTTTGTTTCATTTCACAAGTAGAAATGATCTTTTGCCTCTGTAAGGTAGAATTTATAACCAGAAATGTTGCCGCAACGAGAAATGATCTGGAATAGAAATTTGCCGGCATTGCTGTTTCACAGAAAGCACCTTCGGCTTGGAAATGAGTTCATTTATTGTTCATTTAAGGACAAACATATATCTAGGGTGCCTTCTGGCAAACACTGCTTCTCCAGAAGAGTCATATATTTCTACATGAACAGTGTTAAGCGCGGCTTTTGGGTGGACTGCGGACTTATCAGTGATTCCTTGAGAATGCAGGCATTGCCATTCACACAATCCATGCTGACAAAGATTCAGTTCAATAGAGATGAGTGATCCCAGCTCACACATTGAAGGTCATGCAACCTTTGTGCATGGACTGGAGGACACATGAAGCCTTGCAGGGGAAAACTGTGCATGAGGAGCAGAATGAGGGGAAATTTCTTTTTTGGACCACAATCCTCAGATGCCATTGGCCATACTGGGGGGCAAATTGATTTGTTGTCCAGAACGTAACTCTTTCAAGTAACTCCAATTAACAGAACACATTTATGTGTAACATGCCCTAACTATGGCTGTATGGTACTTGTCAGTTAGAAGAATGCTACAAATTAAGCACCTTAAGCTGAGACACGTTCCCCCTTCCATCACTTAATTCTCTGTTTTTTTCCCATCTTGGGCTTTGTTTATCTCTCTGCCAAGAGTAGATTCGTTTAGAATCTAGATGGGCGGGGTAAAAGCCAAATAAATAAATAAATAAAATATAGATACACACACAAATACCAAAGATGTGTGTGGCTTATATGTAAGGAAATACAGGGATCAGAGAGCAAATAAATGCATTTCTCCAAGTAATGTGGGGAAAATAGCTGTGGTTGCTTTAAAAATTGGTATCCATGCTTTGCAAACTCCTAAGAAGAAAATGGGGAAAGAGGGAATCAATGCTGGGCTATAAATCTGCATTCGAAAAGAGATTCTGCATGGAAATGAGCCGGGAGGGGGAAAAAATTCAATTAAACAGCAAATGAGTTGGTGCCCAAAGAATCCTGCCAGTTCAGCAGAGAGGTGCCAGCAAATGCAATATACTGATGTCTTCTCATTAACCACAGGCTATAAGGAAGACTATGGGGAATGATGCAATCAAATATCTCACAGTTTTTGGGTTTGTTTGTTTTTTGTTGTTGTTGAAAGAACACAGCCCAAAGATATTATATGCATGAAAAATGAAGAAGGGTTAGGCAAAATCGTACAGGCTTCTTCTCGTATGAACCTTTATGCTGGTGTTTCGAAAAATGAAACGGAGAAGAAGGCACCAACTGTGCAGGCATTTGTACTACTTCGGAGTTCTTAGCCCCATTGGTCAGCTTTATCCAGAACAATCACCAGTGAGGCCTATATGCCGGGCTTGGCCACTTGTGGGTCTCTAGATTAGAGATGGGAAAACTTGGGGTTTATTTTTGGACCACAGCTCCCACAATCCTCCAGTCAGCATGAGGGATTCTGGGAGCTGTTGTATTAAAACAGCGAAACAATTCTTACTCCAAGTTCTGCTCTGGATGTTATAGGACTGCAGCTTCCATTATCTTCCATCATTGCCTATGCTGGCTAAAGCTGATGGGAATTGTAGTCTATCAACATCTGCTATATAGGAAAGAGTTTTGGGATAATCTCACTAGTGAGCTGTAAGGGGAATATTACGAAATTATACCTTTTATTTTAAATTTTATTATTTGATTTATCTTTTTATCTGTCTGGTTATTTATTTGATTTTATCAAAGCCCTTCCGATACCCTGATTTATGGCTCTAATGGTGTTGAACAGGAGACAGTGGAATAACATAAATTAAAACACTAAAAATGCAATTCAATGTATCATAAGATCATACATTTAGAATTAGTAAAATATCTTTAAATAGCAGCAGCAGCAACAACAACATCATACACACAAAGAGTTTTAAAGAAGAAAATAAAAATACAGTACTCCTGGTTAAAAACTACTTTCTCTCCAAATATTATGCTACTGCAGTACTTCTGTATGGAAATGTAGGGAGATATATGAGAAGAGTGTAAGGTAAGGCAAACACAAGAAGCTCTACATGGATGAAAAACATGATCAAGCATTGTGTTGTGGTTATAGCTTTGGGCTAGGACATGGGAGAGCTGGGTTCCAATCTCCGCTTAGCCATAAAACTGGGTGACCCTTGGCCAGTCCTATTCTCCCAGACTTATCTATCTTACAGGGTTGTTGTGAGGAGAAAGCGTGGGGACCTGAACTAGCTCGGTCACCTCGAGCTCATTTCATTAAAGGCAGGACATGAAGGCAAGAAGCAAGTAAATAAATGATTGGCAATCTGTGCTTAACTCAGACAACCCTCCTTCCACTGCAGTTGTCACAGAATTAAGAATGATCATATATACTACCGATGGATTATTTTTATTCTATGGCATTGGCTGTAATTATACTGATTCTATGGAGTCTGTTGTAATTATATTTTCTAATTACTTATTTTCTAATTACTTATTTTCTAATTACTTATGAAAGAAAGAATGCAAGGTCACATGTGCTTTATTTTGTTATTATGGAGGTCAGTGCTATTAAAGTAGGGTAGGGGAAAGGCAGTGGCTCCTTACATTTTATATTTTTCTTACAGCCAAGGTATCTGTGAGGCAACCTTCCA